AAGCCTCTAACAATGTCACAATACAAATCAACACCAGCCTTCAAGTTCTTTGCCCGCATTTCATCGAGGAGAGAAACCCCGATATCAACTTCTCCCTTCTCCAAAAACTTGCCAATCATCACGCTATAAGTCTCCGAGTCTGGCTTAGTTCTATAATCACTGCAGCTCTCAGAACTCATTCTTCTAAACATCTCCCTCGCTTTCTCTTCCCTCCCATTTTCCCAATAGCTCTTGATAATACAATTTAAAACTCGAGCGGTCGGAACAAACCCTTCGGTTATCGTCTCGTCGAGAAGCCTGTGTCCATCGTCGACCTTGCCATTTTCGCAAAGGCCAAATATGATACTAGAGACGAGTTCTTTGTTCCTCTTAGACCCAAAGAATCTCAACGCATCATCGATTCTACCAGCTCGAAAGAGGGCCTTTACGTAGGAATTGTACACGCAGGTGTCTTTGCTCTTTGTCACGCTCAATAATTTCTCCGCTTCTTCGACTTTGCCAAGACTGCATAATGATCGGAAATAGGCTTTGAATGCAATTTCTTCGCGGACTACGCCCGGATAAGCCAATTGAAAGATCACCCTTCTCCTAGCCTTAAGCAAATCACTAGGTTTCTCCGCAGCTTGACGATCAAAATCCCCCGTCGTCATTTTATCAAACAGCTTGCGCGCCTCTCTAAATTTCCCGGATTTGCACAACCCGTACAAAAACTCGCCATAAACACAAGCACCCAAATCCCCGACCTCCCCCCTCCTCCTCCTGCTCCAATCTCTCACACCGAATCGAGCTCAAAAACGTTCCCCGTCTCTGCAAAAACCCGAAGCGCCGCAAAATAGAACTCAAACCGTCGACTCGATCCCCCCTGTCTCTCCATCTATTCAGGACACCCGGACCCAACTCACTGCTCGCCCCGAGAGCCGCGCCGTAGGCCTCATCCGCTCAGCCCGCCCGACCGTCCTGATCGAAATTCGCGAGTAAAACCCTTTCTACTCCGAACGGGCTCCCGGATGCGCCCGGCCAGAGGCAGACGATCGCGACAATCGAGAGCCGTGACGTTCGGTCGTCGATCGGCGAGAACGCCTCGACGCGCGGGTGCTGCCGCGGCGGAGGGTGCACTGGGAGGGCGCGCGCTGAAGAGGAAGAAGGGAGGGGATTTTGGAGTCGCCGGCGTTTTGAGGTGGAGGAGGAGCGGATCTGCGAGGCGTGAGCTTCTTGAGGAGGGAGAGGCCGCGAGGAGGGCAGGAGGGAGGGGGTGGGGCCCAGGGGCGGGCGCGGCGGCGAGGAGCGGAGTCGAGGGGCGGATAGGGTTTCGGGGTTGTGATGGGTTTCGGGTCGGCAGAGGGTGAGGAGGAGGGGACGAGAACGCGGGTGCAGATTCTCGGGTGGAGGGTTTTGGGTGGGGGTCGAGGGGCGGGTGGGGGTGGGAGGCGTTGCGCGCCGAGAGGGCGCGTTCGAAGAGAGGGTGTAGATCATGGGTAAATAATTGTCCGATGGGGTGGGCGCGCCTGCGCCGCGCTTTTAGAAAAGAGTGTTTACATCAAGGCCGCCTTAACTTTTGATCAAATTGATCATGTTACATTAATATAAAACTATAGTCCTTTATCCTCATTATAACTTCGGAGTTTTTGTGTAATGGTTAGAGGAGTTAAATTTAAGATGGTATCAGAGCAATTCAGGTTCAAATCCCATTGGTCACGAATTAAATGCGGATTTTCTAAAAATGAACACTGCTACGTGAGTCCAGGTTTGGGTCCATAAAAAATACATGTTAGAATTAATATAAAACTATAATTCTTGATGCTCACCATAACTTCGAAGTTTTGGTGTGATCGTTGGAGGAGCTGAGGAGCTAAATTTAAGAGATCTTGACAATGCTTTTAATGTAAATTAACTTAGTTTACTTGCAAAATTGTCACTTACGATATATTTTTTTAATATAAACCATCTTAGCCTGTTGACATGTTATTAATGTCACATATTTGCAACTACTGAATCTAAAGAAAATTCAAAAAATACTCATTTTACGGGTATCCTCTCTTCAACGTCTTCCTTCTCCTCCCTCCCCTTCCCTACCGCCTACGGTTGGGCCTCTGCGTCTCCCCCTCCCGCTCCCCCACCCCCACCTCATCGCATTCCTCCTCCTCCTCTCCTCCTCCTCCCCCTCCTTCATCTTCTCCATCTCAGAGGTTTCTCCAAGCTTTATATTCTTTTCTCCTCTCCTCCTCTGCCACCAATGGCTCCTCCACCTCCTCCCTTCCCTCTCCCCTTCCCCTCCAAGTCCTTCTCCATCATCTCCAAACCCTTAACTCTTTCCTCCTCTCCTCCCTCTCCACCTCCCTTCTCCTCTCCGCTACTACTGGAGACTCGCCTTCCTCTCCTCCTCCTTCCCCTCCTCCTCTCTCTCCACTCTCGCCGCCGACCTCTCCTCCTCCTTTCTTGCCACCGACGCTGCCAACTTTCCTTTCCCTCTCTCCTTCATCTCCTCTTCTTCTTTTTTCTCTCGGGTTAGGCTGAGGGGTATAATAGTAATCTTATTTTTTAAACAAAAAATACCAAAAAGCGTGACATTGAGTACATATAAGCAAACTAAAGTGGTCTATAAAAAAAATTTGAATAAAGCTTATAAGTTGCAATTTGGGCAAAACTTAAAGGTGGTTTTTATACAAATACTCCTTCAGGAATTTGATGTTTGATGTTTTTTTTTAATTTTTAAAAGCTGTGCTCTTCTAAAGTCGTTATAAGTAAGACCCCCAAAGCTATTGGGTTGATTTAGACAAAACCCCCCGGTGTCAAACTTATATGAATATTTAGGGGTCTAATTCAAAATATGCACGTTTGGTAGTCATCTCTTGACTAATTGTTGGTCGATACAGACCAAGCCAAATAAATAAGAGAGATAGTTAGTCAGTTTCCCATTAGAGCAGGGATAATTCGCGCTCTAGCTCCAAACAATATGTTCATCTTCCAACTTTAGCGCATAGTTTATAGATAGTAGTATGCCACAGAGTTCCATTTCAATTTGGGTTTTCACACTCTGCTGCTCTGTGGAATTCAATTTTTTAAAAGAATATTTGGCGCATCAAAAGCGTGAAAACAAACTCTATGGCGTCGAAGTTTAAAAAAAAAAAACACGACGACTTTATGGGATCAAAGCGTAAATCGTTCTCAGAAAAACTAAAAAAAGTCCAATAACTCCCAACAATTTAGAAGAAATTTGCAAAATAGACATATTTTGCTAGAAGAAATTTGCAAAATAGACATATTTTGCTAAATATTTAGCAAAACAGATCACTTTGCTAAATATTTAGCAAAATAGACCTCTTTTTTTGTCAACAGGCCAAAAAAAGATCGATTTTGCTAAACAGACCATTCGGAAACATACGAGACTAGTAGTCCCGTATGATTTAATCGGGAGTACTAGTCCCGTATGTTTCGAATGGTCTGTTTTGCAAAATCGACTTTTTGGACCGTTGGCTAAAAAAAGATCTATTTTGTAAATTTTTCCAATAATTTAAGGTTTTGCAACCATACCT